TGATCTCAGGGAAACATTTATTTTTAGCGGTCATAATAATATTGTTATATGATGACGGAAAAACGCGGTAGACAAACCTTCAGGAACCACTTTTCTTTTCTTTCTTTTTTTATTTGTATAGTGTTGCATTGTTATATGACATAAAATAATAGTACCTATATCCAATATCCACATTATAATATAGGTACGTAATAATGTTGCAATCTGTGTAAGTATACCTGGCCAAGTTCGCGTCCGTATTGCACGCTTGGTGTTTAAACATCATCCTCTTGTGGTTGGCCATTATTAATCTTGGTTCCTAGAAATTTTTCCTGTTCCTAAAACATTAATAGGTACCTACCTACAACTGCAGATTTCCGCCTGTGTAATCGATCTTCTTCATCTTCCGATCAATTAGTTCTCTCCCATTAACCGATTTGGCTTCTTCTTACAACTTTAGCTGGCAGCGTGTTATACTCATATATTATATATTGACCTACTCACTATATAATTAATGTTCATTTTGTATTATTTTACAGCATTCTGTTGGAGATTCTGTGGTTATAGGTACGTCGCTGTTATAATAATATTATGTTGTTATTTTACTATGATATTTAAAGAGCACGTCAGATACGCGTGTGCCTAAGTAGATAATTAATATACTTAATGGTTACAAAACTTTACGATCTGGTTTAGTTATTTGGTATTATTTTGTTTTTCATTCCTACCATCTCATATTTAAATGAAATGTGTTGGTTCTTACTTCTTTTCATTATAACTAATCGTTTTAATTAATTGTCGGAATGAACTGCAAACATTTTGTACAAAAACTATCTACAACATACGAAACAAGTAAATAATTTGAATAGAACAACAATATTGTTAGGTTAGGACTGCAGAAATTGATAATACCCACATATAAATTGATAAGCAGGGTTTGGGACTTATTGTACATAGAACTATAGTAAGTGCTTAAAAGTGCATTCAAATCATCACTTAAAGGTTAAGAGCATTAAAATAAGAAAAAATTTCAAAAATAGTTATCTTCAAAAATGTCCAAGTTTTCCTCTTATATTAAAAATAAAAAGTATATTACTTACGTATTACATATAGTACCTAATACCTATTAACTGTACCTGTGTTCAATATATTTTTTGAAGACAACAACAATTATTGTAAACACAATGATTTTTTTAGTTTCCATTTAATTTATAAACACTTTAAATAAGACATTAAAAAATTAATTAATTTCTTTAAAAAAATCAAATACTTTTGACCTTAAATTTTGGTCTCTGAGAACCTTATTATTTTTAACTTTTGGATTTTCTGATAAATAAATGTCAAATTCCTTAAGAGTACATCAGTTGCAAAATATTGGCACTAATTTTCAGTCGTCATGTGGATATGAGGTCAATGTAGGGTTGCTAACTCCACGAACATACATTTCTCCAATTATTAAATAACAAATATTATTATAATATCAGTATTATAACAAACGTACGCAAAATAATGCACACACAGCATATTAGTATACCTATTACTACGTAGTACTTCGTAGGTTAGGTTAGGTTTTACGCAGTAGGTTACTCGAAAAGGTTGCAGCTTTAACTGGTAGACTGAAACACGCTGAATCATAATAATAAGGACCAAAGGTAGATGGGATTTTTTTTCCATTTTACAGATAATTTCTATTAAAATCGAATTACTTCAGTAGCCCTCACAATTTACACCATAATATCATTAGATTCTTATAACTTATAAGAGTCGATAATGTAATATTATTTTTTTTCGTGCTAACACCGTCAAAGTGTGGTGTTGTGAACGCAGTAAACGAAAATATTCAATACCATATTATTGTTGTCACACGTCAAGATCAAGGGCTCGGTCATTTTTGAGCTAAAACAATAACAAATTGAGCGCATAGGTACGTACATAGTGATCATTAGTATAATATAATTAATATTTGGAGTGTTATGTATGAATGATTGTTTTAACATTGTTAAAATATGCACTTCATATTTTAATTTTTTTCATTTCAGTATACTCTATGCAATTTTTTTCATCTGAACCCATATACAATTAAGCAGATATTTTTTTTAGTTAAAAAGTTTATCAATGGAAAATTATTGTAGTTTATTATGCATTTTCGAATTTTGTTTTAATGTTTTTTTCAACATAAAAATATATAGCCCTGTTTATGGAATTGACAACTGCATGTTGTATTTACAAAATGTATGCGTTTATGATATGATGCATAAGAACATTGAGTGCACTATCATTGCAATTTTTGTAAGACATTCAAAAACGGACAACGGAAAATCTTTGATTTAGATGGTCTAGTATTAGGGTGTGTTTGGAACTGAAATCGTGTCCAACAAGAGTACACTCTGAATACAACATTTTAATACACTGTTCTCTGTTAATAAAAGTAACATACCAATATGATGCAATATTGCAATATCAATTCAAATAATGCATACAAATTCTTTGAGAATGGCACATGACAAATCAAGGCGGTTTTCCAAATTAATTTCTTTCCGTCCATATGCATATAGGCACAATTTCAACTTTTGACTTGGGGGGCTGAATATATTAAAGGCAAGCAGACCATTGCAATATAGCATATTAAAATTGTATGTCCTAGGGTTTTTTTTTTTTGGGGGGGGGGGCTATCACCCCCCAATTTGCGCCTATGTTTTCGTTAGTGACAGACCGCGAATCGCTGATACGGTCGGTCGGCTATTATTGCAAGTTATAACATAATAATAATAATTAATAATATTATACATCCCCGTCATGAACATTGTTATAACCAGTCGTATAGGCACAGCGGAACCTCGGTATCTCGAACTCCGGTATCACGAAGTTTCGTATATCTGTATTTTTTTTTTTTTGGTCTCGAGACTTAGAGATCCCGAGGTTCCACGTGTAATAGTATAATGTACTGATAGACAGATATTCTTATTCATTTTAAAATACATAAAAATGACTGAAACATCATGAAAAGTCAAAAAACCAATGGTTTAAGGAAATAAGTTCTTAGTGATAGATGTGTACATATTTTAAATAAAAATTAAAAAATTGATATCTTATTTATAAAATCAAAAGTTTTAATATAATTAATAATGAAAATGTTATTATCAAAAAAGACAACTTAAATAAAACCTGAAATACTTTCGCATCATAGTTTTAATTTTTTTTTTGCTATATGCTATAATATTTTTGACAATGTCCGATTAGAATATATACTATAATTGATAGAACTAATAGACCTCTAAGAAGGAGATTTATTATTCCAAATTCGGTCTTACCAACTATTATAGTTTAGTGTCATTTCTGAAAACAGTATTTGGTTATTGAAGTGTTGAAATGCGTTGTTGGAAGGTGATGACATTAAAATATTGGAGAATTAAAGTTAAGTAACACTTGTTTTGAGAAACAATAGTGCTAATTTAAAGATATTATTAAATTCATTACTTACTTTTATAATATAATATTATATCAGGATTTGTTCTGAAATACTTTGAATATTATTATCAGTAACGTGTTAATAGAAGTTTTGAGTTTTATTCGACGAGTTTCACAAGTCCAACCACAAATTACGGTTCCGTATAATATGGTAAATGATAATAATATTATATATTTTGTACCTATTCATTACAACCAGCAATCTATGATTATTTTATGAGCTACTATTATACATAAACCCATGTGGACATATGGACTGCAACTATGGGGAAACGCAAAAAAGTCCAATCTAAACAAAATTCAAACTTTCCAAAATCTAGCGCTTCGTAAATTATTAAATGCCCCTCCTTATGTTTCTAATCATACTATTCATACAGATTTAAAAATACCTCTAGTGCATGAGGAAGCAAAATTGTATTACAAACGTTTCCACCTCCACTTATTATCTCACTCCAATCCGCTCGTTCGAAATCTCTCTACCCCGACTATCCCCGGAAACCCTCCAAGAAGGTTAAAACGAAAATGGTGCCGTGACTTGCTCGTATAAATCAAGTAACTTAAATTAAGTATATGCATAAAAAAAAAAAATAAAATATGTATAATACATATTATAGAAATAACAAAAAAAAAAACGAGCGAAAGTGTCATAAATGGGTGGCTGCTCTCATCAAACGTAACATGTTGTATATAATTTATTGTAAACTGTTATTATTATTAATATTAATTTGTTTTGATACCTTATATGTATATTCTGTATCACATTTACCTATTGTGCCTAAGGTATATTGTAAATTTCTCTTAAAAAAAAAAAAATAATAAAAAAAAAAAAAACTATTATACATATAATATTAGGTATATACCCTGTTCAAAATAAGAAGCGACCTGATTTACGCTTGAAAACCGGTTTTACTAGTGGCCGCCGAATCGCTTCTTAAAATGAACAGACTATAGTGACTTGTAATAATATACGTTTTATAAAACGAAAATACCTGTATATTTTATTACAACACAATGTTGATACATTACGGTATACTACCTACAATTATACATAGTCGTAAAAAAATAGGTATTAATTTTTCGACAAAATATAAAACAATAATATGCGTTTCGACGTCTGTCCGGGGACGCGTGTCGTGGCGCCGTGCCGAACTATAATGACGTGCATCGCGGAGATATTGCTCCTACCGGCGGCGCAGGAGGAGCATTTTGAAATTCAACCGCTCTCGCGACAGTCATCGGCATCCCATTCGAGAGGGTTGTCCGCGTGACCGCAACGGCCTCCGTGGAACACACATGTGTGATCATACGCGACGACAATAATATTATTTTCGTCATAATGATATTGTAACCATCACTGTAATTATTATTATTATTGCCGTTATTACGTACAGCCACGCGGGGCCGTCAACTCGTGTGTGGGTGCGAATACAATTTTTTGGACATTAAACAGCATAATAATAATATATTATAATATTTTTTTAATACCCGCGTGGGACACGGAAATACGACATTCGACGGGGATTTTTATAATTTTGATTAATTTTCACTCAACTATGATCTTCGGGCGCCCGTGGATTTTCGTCTGTACGTTGGTTGCGTATTGCTGTAAGTATATATTGATAAGTAAATTATTTATGCCCGCTAAATTATAATAATATTGCAATATTCGAAGACGTGATCACCTAACGCAATACCAATGAGATCGTAAGAGACAATAGAAACAATAATGCACCCACTATTAAATATATGTAATAGATTATAGATTATTATTAGATAATAAATAATTGAAATATACGGCAACGATTCTAAACAGACGTCTTTAAACGTTTTTTTCTAATTCGTAGCTATAGACAATTTGATTAACTTCTACAAAAAATAATTAAAAATAAATATGTGACGTCAACAATGGACGTGTGTGGTGTGTTGAGAGTATACATTGGAAACCAAACAGATTTAACTATGAAATAAGATAGCACAGAAAAACGCGTATTGTCCAAATATTTAATTTAATTTAGTATTTATTATGTGTTACAACATGAATGTATAGGTTGAACTTAAAATAGGTAAAGTCTTAAATTTACTAATTTTAAAGTTTGATTGTATATAACATGGTTTTATATAACTAATAAAATCCACTACAAATAGGTTAATATTTAAAATGTACCTATAGCTGTACAGGAGACGTACATTTTATCAAATTGCTTATTATATACATTTTAGTGGGTAATTACCTAAATAAATATTTTAGTACGGTCCCTGGCTAATCAATAGTGTAGCCCAAAACAAAACAACAATTATCCATGATTGTATTGCAATTAAAAAAAATATTACAATAATTACATAAACCATTGTTATTATAATTGTAGGTCCTGAAAAAAAAAAAAATTCACGTTTTGTTATAAAAAAATAATGGAGTTTTCATGACATATTTTCTTTGTTAAAATATAATACCTAAGGGGCATCGCCGAATACATATAGAGTATTATAGACGTATAGTATACACAAACTTTTCTTTTCAATTACATCATTAAACTAAAAGCTTGATATAATATAGTACTATGCATAACATCCTTAGAACATAAAATATAAAAATTAAAAATCATACAACTTGTTACTAAGAAGCAGTGTAGTATTAACAAAAACAAGTATGCTTGAAATTGCATATTAAATATAAATGAATAAACTAATTTTATAGTGTTATTTTTAAAAAAGTACATCGCACAGATACACAGGTACCTATATATAATACTAATTGATTAAATTTAAATTTTAGTCTTCGATTTATAAAATACAAAACACTATGAGATAAAAAAAATTTTAAAACCATTAAATTACATTACTTATAAGATAGTATAGGTAGTAAAATATTTAATCCACAAATGGACAGTTATTGGAAAATTTTTAGTTCATATAAATAATTAAGTGGATTCATCTCAATTTTACTTATTCTGCATTTTTTTTACGAAATACATTTTTCCACCTTGTATAAGTGATTTAAATATACTTATATATATTTTTAATAAAATATTAAAAAATTAAATTATACAATTTTTATATTGAATTTAAAACTTTTTCGTTTCAATAAAAATAATAAATACGAGCTGTTTAAATATTACTCACAACTTACAACACAAAGACATAACTTATTTTGAATTCAAAATTATAAAAACAGTTTTATAATTGATTTGATTTTAATAATTTTATTTAAGAATAAATCACAAGACTACAAAAGTGGTTTTTAGTTTTTAAAACAAACTTTGATTATAACATCCTTTGAGTAATAAAATATTTTATCTATTCACAAATGTGTTGCTAAAATAAATATTACCATAATAATATATTATACTACACAAGCTCGTGCAATCTATTTTTATTCGCATTATTTTAATTCAATTTTTACCATATATTTCATATTATAAGATAAGCTATGTTATAAAAGTAATCTAAAATAAAATTCAATAAAAGATATTTATAGTCCTTTGATTTGGAGTAACTTATTTAAATTCTTTATATTCGCTATGGTGTTTTAGTATTTTATATTATGCACCCTGTTGAGCCTTCTCTGTATATGAATTAGTGAAATTCTTGAGATAAATAAATAAGTAATTTCTATTGAGTGTGGTTAACCATACAAAAATAGGACCTCCTCTTTACAATAATTTAAGTTTGCGTATTTCTCTTGAGTTTTATTCGTATCGAATTATTATGTATTCCTTTTAGCTTCTGAGCGCTCCGATGAATGTATTGAATGTATTGTGTGTTTTTTAAAAATTTATTTTTATTTTTGTGTCTGTCATCAACTTTTGGGGCAGTAAAATTTCTTTAATATTCTACAATCTTGTTAATTGTTTGATGGGAAAGTGAATCTAGTTGGTGCATCTAGGAGGTTAAAACTCCAATTAATTTTCAAAAGTACCGGAAAAAAAGTTGTTCTGCTGTACAGTAGGTTAAAAGTGGGTCACTGTATAATGGATGATATTAAATTTGAATTCAACGATATAATATCATTGTATAAGAAAAATGATTCTGAGCGGAGATGGTATGTCAGTCTAGGTATAAGACATATTATATACATATCTATGGTACTAAATCAAAATTTGACCTATAATAGGTGCCTATAATGAATTCAAAATTAATCATATCACAATATCCATTAGGTACTTATAACGCGTTATACACCAACAACAAACCCTGATACTATCATAGATATAATATAGTAGTATACTTTAGAAGTTTCAAGTACCCGCAAGCCGCGAATCAATCACAATCACAAAAAAATAAATAAAATAGTTATTCTAGGTTTTTTTATTATGTAATTTCGTCCAAATTTGAACTTAAAATGACTATAAAAATAAACTGTGTCTATGTATTTTTTAGATTTTTTGGTAACAGAATTAAAATATTTTTAAATTGTCAATCCTTATAGGTATACAAGTTGAACATTTTATACATTTTTAACTACAAAATAATTATCAATTTTAAATTTGATAAATTTTGTCAAAATTCGATCTTTAAATGCGTATAAAAAACAATTGTGGCTATGATTTTAAATATTTTTCAACTGATATTGTAACAATATATCAGAAGCCTTGTATTACATTTTTACAACTTTTTTTCACAACAGATAAAACTTTATTGATATTCATAGAAAAAATAAATAAAAAAATTGAAGTATGAAATTGTCCGTAAACAGCTCAAAACAAGTAAAAATATTTTGAAAATTTTATCAAGTATAAAAATTGATAAATAAACAGTCATTGAAATTTTCATGTGTCTACAGTTATTCGTTTTTGAATTGCAACAAAATAAGAAATTGCCACATGAGAAATCGAGTGAATATCCAATGTTGTAAAAATTTGAATTTCAAACGCTCATAAAAATTTAATTTGACTTTCCGGTAGAGATTTTTTTATTGATAAAGGTAGACAATGTTATGAGTAATCTTGTATTAGATTTTCAAATCTTAGATTTAAAAAGAAAAATTTTTACGAATTCTTAACTCAAAATAATTTGCTAATTTTCGTGATTTTTCCATATTTTGTCAATTTTTGAACTTTAAATGCTTATAAAAAAAAAATTGTGACTAAGGATTTTTAATATTTTTCATCTGCCTTTGAAACAATATATTAGGAGCCTTCTATTAAATTTTCAAGCTTTCGCAACCAACAAATAAAATTTTATTGATATTTCTAGAAAAAAAACTAAAAAAAAACGAAAAATGAAAATGTCCCTAAACAGTTCAAAATAAATCAAAATATTTTGAAAATGTTATCGTGTATAGAAAATGCAAATATAAACAACCAGTGAAAATTTCATGTATATACGTTCATTTGTTTTAGAGTTACACCAATAACCAAAATCGATTTTTTGGAAAATCAATTTTGCGTAAAAATTCCCGTTTTTCCTTAATTTTTATGTTGTTTTTCCCGGCGCTTGTGAAAACTACTGGGAAATTTAAATTTTGACCTCCCCAATGCACCAACGATATTCACTTTCCAATCGAACAAGATACTGAAGTCGAAAATCGAAGCATTATTTCGACTACTTATCGTGTACACAGATACAAAAAAAATAAAAAATAAAAAAATAAAAAAACACACATCATTGTAAAATCAATACATTCATCGTTTAACTCAGAATCTAAAAAATAAATAAAATAGTTATTCTAGGTTTTTTTATTATGTAATTTCGTCCAAATTTGAACTTAAAATGACTATAAAAATAAACTGTGTCTATGTATTTTTTAGATTTTTTGGTAACAGGATTAAAATTTTTTTAAATTGTCAATCCTTATAGGTATACAAGTTGAACATTTTATACATTTTTAACTATAAAATAATTATTCAATTTTAAATTTGATAAATTTTGTCAAAATTCGATCTTTAAATGCGTATAAAAAACAATTGTGGCTATGATTTTAAATATTTCTCAACTGATATTGTAACAATATATCAGAAGCCTTGTATTACATTTTTACACTTTTTTTTCACAACAGATAAAACTTTATTGATATTCATAGAAAAAATAAATAAAAAAATTGAAGTATGAAATTGTCCGTAAACAGCTCAAAACAAGTAAAAATATTTTGAAAATTTTATCAAGTATAAAAATTGATATAATAAACATTCATTGAAATTTTCATGTGTCTACAGTTATTCGTCTTTGAATTGCAACAAAATAAGAAAATCGATATAAGAGAAATCGAGTGAATATCCAGTAATGTATAAATTTGAATATCAAACGCTCATAAAAATTTAATTTGACTTTCTTATAGACATTTTGTTTTTTTGATAAATTTAGATAATCTTATAAGTAATTTTGTATTACATTTTCAAATCTTAGATTTAAAAAGAAAAATTTTTACGAATTCTTAACTCAAAATAATTTGCTAATTTTCGTGATTTTTCCATATTTTGTCAATTTTTGAACTTTAAATGCTTAGAAAAAAAAACTGTGACTAAGGATTTTAAATATTTTTCATCTACCTTTGAAACAATATACTAGGAGCCTTCTATTCAATTTTCAAGCTTTTTTTACCAACAAATAAAATTTAATTGATATTTTTAGAAAAAAATCTAAAAAAAAATGGAAAATGAAAATGTCCC